TGAAAATGGAGTGGTTGTTAGGGTGGTTTCATTGCTACCAGGTCTGACATGATTTTTTAACTTCTCTCAATCGTTTCTCAAGCAGCAGTTGCAAGTGGAAATTGCTGTTGCAATCTAGAGGCCGCTCTTTCGTCTTTTCAACTTCGTTCACTCTTTCCATGGTGGCAGCTGCTCATGACTGTATGGATATCGATGCGATCAACGTTCGAGAGCCAGCCATAGCACGTATAATGGACAAATTTGAGACGATTCTTCTTCTTCGTTTCTAAAATTTTCGATAGCTTCAGTAAAATGTTTTTGTCACAAAGACCCCTTTCAATCAGATGAAATGAAAAGTTTCCTCTCTGCACTGCTGTAGCTAATTGAAATTCTGGCAAGATCACATAGCTGAATCCAATGCCGGTCATCTTCACCATGTAGTGGCGTCCAGCTTGAAAACTTGTTTAAACTCTTCCAAAAACCACTTACCATTTTCGACATAAACCATAATATAACACTATATTTTAAAGGACTTACTGAAAAAACTCAATGGCTTGTCAGTTTTGCAGGGAATGGAGTTCTATCTTTGCCAAGCACGCAATCATCGTGACCGAATGCAACAGCAGAAGCAGCAGCAACATTGTCAAGTCAAGATTTGAAGGACGAGAATAAACGTCCATTGGAAGCAAGCCTGCATGTGATTCTTTGAGTTACCAAAGACAAAGTAACTTCGTACAATCGCCTGTAAATCGGTCGTGTCTTACAGCTTGGAGAGAGGCCAAGGTAATCATCTTGCTTCGTGATAGTCATGGAGCAAGAGCTACGTAGGGAGCCTGTAAATGAGCTTCTGTCACTCTGACATGCCACGAAACATGCGATGATGGGAAAGTAGCGTGGTGTAAAAAAGTCACGGATTTCACAGTGAAATTGTTCGTGTTTTTACCTCGGCCCAGCGCCCCACATTGACCCGAGAAGATCTCGCTGGCAAGTAAAGAATACGATTGATTGATCGTCGAGCGATTTGTTCGTGAGAGTTTTCTAAGAGTTTTCTGCTGGTCCGCTCGAATCTGGACGTCACTTTGAAGGAAAGAGACCAGGTTAGCTGAATGAAAACCACTGTTCTTCATTCTTCCACACAAGGACAAATAGTTTTTCACTTCACTCGTGGAGAACATCCATGTGTACAAATCGCACTTGCTTCAACAGTTTCTTCCCTTTTGCAAATTTTTCAAGCTCGCGCATTTCAAGAGGATTTAGTTGTTCGAACAGCTCTTTCCTTTGATTCATTCTTCCCAGAGCTCGAGTCATTGAAACTCTATCGACATGCAAAGATGGCGAAAACAAATAAACAAAGAGCAAGAAAGTTGTGCAAGTCGCTGCGCTCCGCCAAACGCGACTCGGACTGACCACCAAACAACGAGTTTGAGCAAAACTGCTGCTCTGGGAACCCAAACAAAAAGTCTAGAGATTAGTTTGTTTTGGAGATGAGACCATTTCCCATTTGGCCATTCTCTTTGAAACTTCTTTTGAAAGCTGGCAACGAGACCCCACTTCCACCGTGTTGTTTTCGTTTAACCAGTTGTTCACAGAGTGAATCGAAGAAACCCGGTCAACTTTGCGCTCCGTCTACACCGTCCATGCGTTTTAAGAAATGCTATTTTAGTAACTCGGCTCCAGAGCCAGTAAGTGCTTCGAGCGAAAGCAGGCAGTATAAAAAGCCCTCCTCCGGTGCTCCATTCTTCCATTCTAACTAGCTCTTCTTCTCTTCTCTCCTCCGCAAGAGAGATTTGAGAGGGGAAATTGGTATCGCGCTCTTGAAATCTAGATAGCATTGGTTTGGGCGATTGAGTCGCAAGTAGCTTATAGTGGTCGATTGATCCAAGGATGATGGGGCCGAGCCCAATGCTCGTCGTCTTCTTTGTGGGTGTGACACTGGCCGCTCTCGCGGGCGCCAATGAGCCGCCGGTTTACAAATACGCTTCCCCGCCACCGCCAACATACTACTACAAATCCCCGCCTCCACCAGTGAAGTCGCCACCTCCACCGGTGTACAAATACAAGTCCCCGCCACCGCCAGTGTACTCGCCACCTCCGCCTGTCTACAAATACAAATCCCCACCACCACCAGTGCACTCGCCTCCTCCACCCGTCTACAAATACAAATCCCCACCACCACCCGTGTACTCACCTCCTCCTCCAGTGTACAAGTACAAATCTCCACCTCCACCGGTTTACAGCCCACCACCGCCAGTTTACAAATACAAGTCTCCGCCACCCCCAGTTCACAGCCCACCACCACCGGTTTACAAGTACAAATCTCCACCACCCCCGGTTTACAGCCCACCACCACCAGTTTACAAATACAAGTCTCCGCCACCCCCAGTTCACAGCCCACCACCACCGGTTTACAAGTACAAATCTCCACCACCCCCGGTTCACAGCCCGCCTCCACCAGTGTACAAATACAAGTCTCCGCCACCTCCGGTTTACTCCCCACCACCTCCAGTGTACAAGTACAAATCCCCACCTCCGCCAGTGTATTCTCCACCTCCTCCGGTGTACAAGTACAAATCTCCACCACCTCCATACCACTACTAAGCGTATTGGAACACAGAATGTTCATTCTGGGAAAGAGAGAAATATTTGAGCGAGCGCATGCAGTTGCTGTTTTTCTCTTGCTCGAGCAATGTTGGACGATCTTGTTTGAGCGGGACGGGCACTGGCAAATGTTGTGTGAATCATTATTTTGATCATATGAAATAAATAAAAGGCAATCTTCTGAGCATCACAAAGGGAAGGGAAACATGACAAACTTAATCGATTTGCCAACAGTGATCCACACAAGAGTCCCCAACACGGTGTGGAAAAACATGCAAGAGTCCAACTGCAACTCAAACTTGTGAATTTCCATTGCACTTGTCTAGAAAGCAAAACTGACAAGTTCTTCCATACAGCTAGCTGGATTTTTGTTTAAAAATTTGAAAACTTTTAATCCATGCTCGCTGTGAAGATTGTCCTGCAAGTGAAAAACAACATCCTTATGTTCCTTTCTTTATATAGTTCAATATCATAAGTTGTCCAAGAGCTCTCCAAAGTCGAGAAAATCCCTCTCAGGTTCGCCTATGTGGATCAAACGTTTGCAACGCTTCTCTTTGGCATCACAGGTCTGTGGATGACAGTGTTCCACATCCCTCTCAAACTCTGCCGCGAGCTACATGGTGGAAGATTTAATTTTTCAATCAGCTACAGCAGCGCACAGAGAAAATGTCTGATCGAAAGTGACTGTACGAATAGCGATGCGAAGGGGAACAAACCAAACATTCAACATTTGAGAGCCAGCCATAGCACGCATTATAATGGACGAATATCATACGATTCTTCCTTTTGTTCTTCTTTCCTAATTTTTTTTGATTGCTTCAGTCAGTCACGAAGAAGAGAATTGGAAAGATTTTATCATGAAGAGAGTTCGAATGACCAAAGCATTCTCTGGTGTTGTAAATTGGCGTCTCTTCCGACTCCTATAAGATTCTTCTAAGTTGCCCTCCGATCGATCTCGATGGAATCCATCGAAACTGTTTGTTGGGAGGTCTGGATTGGCCAGCGGGAATTGTTGAATTGAAACTCCGTGCCATGTTTTGATCAAAGTCGGGCTTGTGATCAACCAGCGCACGCTCTGACATGCCACGAAACACGCGACGGCCTTGTCACTGGCAATGATAGGTTGGTTAAACAACAGGTCGAAAGCTCCAAGCTTTTCGTTTTAACGTGGTGCGAAGTGAAACGTACAAAAGACTATCCTACTTTTCGTGTTTTTATCTGCCCACATTGACCCGAGAAGATCTCGCTGGCAAGCACAGAATACGATTGATTGATCATCGAGCGATTTGTTCTTGAGATTTTTATAAGAGGTTTCTGCTAGTCCGCCCACTTTGAAGGAAGGAGACCAGGTTAGCTGAACGAAAACCACTGTTCTTCATTCTTCCACACTCCACAAAATACAAATTCAAGCTTAGGATCTGGTTGTTCGAACAGCTCTTTCCTTTGATTCATTATTCCAAGAGCTCGATCTATCCCAACCAAACATCGAGTTTGAGCTCCAGCAAAACTGCTGCTGTGGGAAAAAAAATAAAAATGGAAGAATTCCAAATAGCAAAAATCCAACACGGTGTGGATCGCGTTTGCCAGCTTTCATACCTCGCAGCTTCAGCGAATGGCAACCCAAGTGGGAAATGGTCTCATAAAATCGAGGATAGAAAATAAAAAAAGAAAAACCTCGTCAACTTTGCACTGACAAATGTAACTCGCAATGAAGAGGGAGCAATGAAAGAGGTATTCGCATCGTGCGCCCGCGCAACTTCGCTGCGGTCGACTCATCCACGGACTTCTATGTAGAGACATCATCCGCCGGGGTGCCATGTCTGTCTGTGACCATCAGCTCCGGCCTCCTGCTACAAGTGGTGTTGAAGGATTCACGCATGGTTCCTCGTGTTGCGCTTTCGGCTGTCAAGTCATTCATTGAGGCGCTGCAGTTGGCTTTCAACTATATCAATGTCAGTCGTCTCCAGCAGCACGTTGAAGTTCTTGAGTATGTATGGCTGTTGGAAGTTCTGCTGCTCAGCACGAAGTTCGTTCTGGAGAACACTTGTAACAACTACTCGGTGTTGGTAGAAGCCAAGCAGAAGGGGAACCGATGCTTGATCCTTTTCAAGAGTTTTGATTTCAAGGGATTCCAAGCACAGGGAGCTGGAGACGAAAAGTCTATCAAGATACACATTGTAAAAGCCATGTCCACCTACAGTTTGGCAAGGCTCTGGCTACTGAAGTTAGTTACCTGAAGGATGTGATTGCCAGAGAGAGCAGGGGAAGGCAGCTCACTTGCTGGTATGTGCATTACATACCAGATAAACATACTTGGATTGTGGAACGTCTAAACGGTTTATGGTGGACAAACTCGCGACTGCTAGAGGCTTTACACTATCCCGAGATCATGTTTGGGACTAGTTGTACATATGATAAGACCATTGCATCTCATAAATTTCATTATGGTGAAGCCACGCAAAATTTACATCGTCCTTACTTACACTGGGATTCTATTAGCTTAACGAAAAAGGTTTGCACAGAGCTCGTTCACAAAGAAACACCAGTTTGTAACATGATCGGAACTTGACGCGGTTTTACGGTCCGGTAAGAGGCAGACGAAACTAAAAAGAGAAACTCTGGACGTAAAGATGCTGCATTTCGAGTGAAGCAGAAACTATCCGTGCTCGGCACGGAGACTGCAATTTCTCCAAGACAACGAGCTGTTGAGAGTATGACGTTTACGATGAAAGTCATTCATATGGCTCTTCCCTTTCGGACCCAGTCAGGGAAGACGCGAAGCGGAGCTGTCACCATGAATGAGTAAAGTAGCAAGTCTTAATCCCCGAAGGAACCACTGTTTGTGAGTGCGACTCTCACAAAAACCAATCACAAGGTTTGTCTTTCTTACCGAGAATCGCCGAGAAGATCACCTGAGATATCGCTGGAGGCTGTAAGGCGAAGCCTCGTACTTCTTTAGAAACGGGTGCTGGAGGAGCTGGAACGCATTCGGTCGACACGCCGGCTCCTTCTGGAGGCAAGCTTTCACCAGGTCCTGGAACTCGAGCGAAGTTCCTTCGGGGGGACTTGGCACCTCCCACTCGCAGATGTTGCACATAAGCGTCATCCAGTCCGCCTCCTGGCCGTGAGAGAGGTATGGAAAGTAGCCGAGCGCGCACTGGAGCAGCACCAGTCCCAGGCTCCAGATGTCCGCCGAGTAGTTGAATCCCCCGCGAGCTTCGTGGAGCTTGAATCTCTCGGGGCTCATGTACGCGCACGTCCCCACGAAGGTGTTACACTCGGCGAAAGTGCTGGCCAGCTCCGTGCTCACGCCAAAGTCGGCGATCTTCACCTCGCCTTTGCTGTTGAGCAGCAAGTTGGAAGGCTTGATGTCCCGGTGGACGATCTTGTTCGAGTGCAAGTAGAGCAGCCCCTTGAGCACGTACTGCGTGATGGTGGCGAGGTACGGCTCCTCGATCCTGGGGTGGCGCTTGAGGACGTGAGCGAGCGTCCCGCCGTCCATGTACTCGAGCACCAGCGAGATCTCCCCGCCCTTGTCGAAAACGCCGTAGCACTGCACCACATACGGCGCCTTGGAACGCATGCTTATCTCCTTCTCGCGCTTGATCTGCTTGGTGATGGCCGCGTCCGTCTTGGGATGGATCGTCTTGAGCGCGTAGACGACGCCGGTGCGTACGTGCACCACCTTGTAGACTTTGCCACCGCTTCCCTGTCCGAGAATCTCCCTCTTCTCGAGATCCTCCAGCGAGACCTGGCCGCCTCCCACCTCGTCCTTGGCAATCTCCGGGAGCTTCAATCCCCTGGTCGCATCTGCTGGAGGGAGTGGAAGCCGGTGTGCCCCTGGAGCTGAGGAGGACGGAGCTCGCAGGAGCTGGAGATTTGGAGGCTTTTTGCTGCGTACCAGCGACATCCTGCTGCTGCCCAAGAGCGATCTGGATCGACCCTCGAAGCCCCAGTAGCGATCTGGTTGAAAGACGTTCGAATCTAGCGTACCACTATGGCTACTAAACTAGTGGAGGAAGACGATCTATACCTCTAGGAAGACTTAGCCGCTGCTCGCTCGATCGCTCGCTCGCCAGCACAGTGGCTCTGGAAGATTGATATGGCCCCAATAGTCGCAGGAAAAATCCTCCTCCCGGCCGTGCCGCCGCTGACTGGTGTAACGCGGAAACAGTAAAGCTCTTGGGTCAATCCTCTCTCCCCCCTTTCCCAGGAAGCCTTTTTGGACCACTCCACCACGCCACCTCTCCAGCCAAATTGTAGATGCTATCGATCCTCTAGCTCGATAGCTTCGCCTTCTTCTTCCATGTCGTGACCCAGCGACGATCCCAGCGACGAGGATTCCTCCCTGACCATCTCAAACACGTAACAATCCCTGAGCTTGTTCTTGACGATCACGTAGCTGCGCTGCAGCCCCGTGCTCGCGAATCCAGCCTTGATCAGCACCCGCTGCGATGCCGCATTCTCCCGGAAGACGATCGCCTCGATGCGCGCGATGGATTGGAGCTCCCGGAATCCCTGTTCCACCGCCGCTGTCACGGCCGCGGTCATAATCCCGCGGCCCCAGTAGCGGCGCGCGAGAACGTAACCCAGCTCGGCGCGGCAGGCGTGGATCCCCGAGCCCGGCGTGAGCGAGAGCGAGCCGATCGCGACGTCGGCCCAGCAGATCGCGCGGAACCACGGGTGCGGCACGATGAATGCGTGGAAGAACTCCACCGCCGCGTCCCTGGACGTGTAGGTCTCCCACACGAGGAACTCGGTAACCGCGTCGTCCATCGCCCATTCCATCATGTCGTCGATGTCGCTGGCCCGGAATTCCCTGAGCGTGAGCATCGAATTGGCTGGAGCAAGATTTAGGGTTCTTCGTCGCGAAGAACCCTAAAGTTTGGAGCCCTAATTTTTGGGCGCTGGGGCTATGGCGATCATCACTTCGGTGGAGCTCAACTATCTCGTCTTTCGCTATCTCCACGAATCAGGTAAGCCTCCGGCGCCGCCAGCGCCAGCGCTAGATCACACGCAAGGAGACCGAACCCTGGCAGGTTTCACGCACACGGCGTTCACGCTGGGGTATGAAGCCAGCTTGAATAAGATGAGCATTGACGGGAATCTCGTGCCACCAGGTGCTCTGGTCTCGTTCGTCCAGAAGGGGATCCAGTACCTGGAGCTGGAGGCCAATCTCAATGATGTGAGTGATCATCCTTTCAGAGAGTTTGCGTTTACTCGTCGAAGTTTGTGACGCTCCTCTCGTTCAACAGCATTGATTGACGGTTGATCCTCTACGCCAGGATAACACAGACCTGGACGGCGATTTCTCCCTGCTCCAGCCGGTGGAGCTGCTCACCAAGGATGTGGCGGAGCTGCGGCAGCTCATCAGGGAGCGGAGAGAAAAGATAGAGAAGGAGAGGGAGAAGGAGAGGGAGAAAGAGAGGGAGAAGGAGCGGGAGCGCGAGAGGGAGAAGCAAGAGAGGGAGCGAGAGCGCGCCGAGAGAGAGAGGGACCGCGAGCAAAAAGAGAGGGATAAGGAAAGAGAGAGGGACAAGGAGCGCGGCGACGTCAAAGTGAAGATCGAAGAGCCTCGCAGTTCAGGTAAATCTTTCTCTCGTATGAAAGTATGATCTTTCTATGGTTGGTTTTGTTTCGTTTTTGTTTCCTTATAAAGGTCATCCTTTTCTATGAGAACATTTTCCCCCAGTATCTAAGCCAAGGTGTTTCAGGTGACATGGATGTTACTGTCGCCGCCACCAATCCAGTAAATGAGATTCCAGCTTCTCAAGTGACAATTCTTGAGGGGCACGGATCGGAGGTTTGCTCCTTTTTATTTTTACAGTCTTGCGCTGTTTTTAAACTTTTTCAGCGCTCCAGGTTTTCATCTGTGCTTGGAACCCAACAGGTTCTCTCCTAGCATCTGGGTAAGGCTGGCGGATTCACCTGTCTTTTACTAAGTTAGTTGTGTGACATCTCCAGTTCTGGAGATTCAACAGCGCGGATATGGACAATTGCTGATGGTCCTTCCGGAGTTAATGCTCAGAGCTCGGCACCTCGGCCACTTGTTTTGAAACATTTCAGGGGCAAAACAAATGAAAAGAGCAAGGACGTGACTACTCTTGACTGGAATGTAAGCTGCTTCGTTTCATCTGACTCCAAAAGACTCATCCTGTCTGTGAAGGCGGAAGGAACGTTGCTGGCAACCGGATCATACGACGGTCAAGCTAGGATCTGGAGCAAAGATGGTACGTTATTTTGGGTTTGAAGCATGTATTGACTATTTACTTTTTTTCACTTACAGGGGAATTGAAAAACACGCTAAACAAACACAAAGGACCGATATTTTCTTTAAAATGGAACAAAAAGGCCGATTTGCTTCTCAGTGGTAGTGTAGACAAAACGGCAATCGTTTGGGATGCTAAAACTGGTGAAGTCAAACAGCAGTTTGAGTACCATGAAGGTTCGAAACCACAATTATTTCCTTTTCCACTAGTCGTGAAACCGCATGCTTGTTTTAGCCCCCACACTCGACGTCGATTGGCGGAACAATATGTCGTTCGCGACGTGCTCCACGGACAACATGATTTACGTTTGCAAGCTAGGGGAAACCAAACCGGTGAAGAAGTTTGCGGGGCACGAGGTTTGTAACTTCAGCACTAATGGTTAAATGACTTCTGGCGTGTGATCAGGACGAGGTGAATGCTATCAAATGGGATCCAACCGGGAACCTCCTTGCTTCTTGCTCGGATGATTACACAGCTAAGGTGAGAATACCATGTTATATCAGTGTGACTTGGATGACATACTTTCTTCTTTATCTAGATTTGGAGCATGAAACATGAAAAATGCGTGCATGACTTGAAGGAGCATAAGAAGGCAAGCTTCCATCTATGACATACTCCGGCCTGACTTGAGCGTTATAGGAAATATACACCATCAAGTGGAGTCCGAGCGGTCCGGGGACGAGTAATCCGAACCAACAGTTGGTACTAGCGAGGTAAAATAGTTATAGTTTCCGTTTCCCGTTTCATTTGTTTGTTTTTGTGCCAGCGCTTCGTTCGATGCAACTATCAGGCTCTGGGACGTTGAACAAGGGATTCAACTCTACAGCTTGACGCAACACAGGTAAGCGCTTGCAGCGCTCGCGTGTCTTAAGTAACGGCTGTGGGTGTCTGTGCAGTGAGCCCGTGTACTCCGTGGCCTTTAGCCCAAACGGGGAGTTCCTTGCCAGTGGCTCCTTTGACAAATGCTTGCACATATGGTCCGTCAAGGACGGGAACTTGCTCAAGACTTACAAAGGCAGCGGCGGCATATTTGAGGTCTGTTGGAACAAAGAAGGTGACAGAGTCGCTGCTTGCTTCTCAAACAACACTGTTTGCGTTCTAGACTTTCGAATGTAGACAACACAAATTCTTTGCTTTGATATTTTTGAGATCAATACAGCAAAATCACATTCTTTGTATCTCGCCATACACTGCGTCAGCCAGTCGTGGCGATGGAGCTAGCAGCAATGGGTTCTTCTTTGGCAGCGTCATCCCACAGACTTCCTCGATATCTGGGACTCGATCGTCCGGCGAGTGCCAGTGGAAACAGTGGAGCGACTGTGCCAGTGCGAGCTCCACAGTTCTCACTCCCATGGCCAGCCCCGGACAGATTCGTCGGCCGGACCCAAACGGGATGAACTCGAAGTGCTGGCCTTTCATGTCGATGCTGGCCGTGGGCTTGTCAAGGAACCTCCAAGGATCGAACTCCAGAGGCTGCTCCCACAAGCTTGGATCTCTGGAAATGCCGTAGACGTTGATGATCACTCTGGTCCCGGCAGGGAAGCTGTAAGGCCCGACTTTGCAGTCCTCCACGGACTGGTGCTGGAGGAGAGGACCCGGCGGATGGAGGCGAAGAGTTTCCTTGACTACCGCCTGTAGGAACTGGAGCTTCGGAATGTCTGCCTCGCTCACCATCCGGTCGTTTCCAACTATGAAACTTATTTCGTCTTGGGCTTTCTGGAGAGAGCGCGGATGGCGTACCAGCTCGGTGAGAGCCCATTCCAGAGTCATGGACGATGTATCAGTCCCAGCTGCGAAGATATCCTGCAATGAAATGGTCAGCCGGATTTACGAGGAAACGAGCTGGACAAAACGAACCTGGATTGTCGCTTTTATCGTGTCGTCGCTCACGTACTCCACACCGTTTTGTTTCTGGATGGACAGCAGCACGTCGATGAAGTCCTCCGAGGCGTTCGGGGGCCGCTCTTGTCGCCTGTGGCTGTCGACCAGGCCCTGGAAGAAGAAATCCAGCTGCTCGTGCAAGATCTGGCTTTGTTGGCGAAATCCTTGGACGTCGAAAGCTCGGAAGAACGGTATGTAGTCGGCAAGGTTGAAAGCTCCGGCGAGTTGGAGTGCTCGGTCGAGTGACGACTTGACTTTGAGGCCCTCTTCGAGATTGACGAACTCCTGCCTGTTGGAAACCATTGTCCTAATTATGCTCCATGAGAGCTCTGTTGCCGCGTCCCGAAAGTTTACCACTTTCTTCTCTCGAGCCAGCTTCAGCAGACGATGGATCATGTTGAGAGTCTCGTCTCTGCGGATGCCTTGAAACGATTCCAGTCTCTTGGCAGTGAAGAGCTCCAGGACGGAGAGCTTGCGGAGCTCGCGCCACTGCTGACTGTAAGGAGCCCACATGATGTCCGAGAAGCCATAAGTGAGAAGCTTGGCGTTCGCGACTTCAGGCCTTGACGAGAAGATCGCGTCGTGAGTTTGCAAGAAGATCTTCGCTGTTTGGGAGGAAGAAGCCACCACCGCTTGAACTGATCCCAGCCGGAGGGACATCAGATGACCATACTTCTTGGAGAGCTCGGTGATCACGCGATGAGGCTGCTTTCCCAACAATTGGTGTAAGTTCCCAACAACAGGCAGCTTCCAAGGTCCCGGAGGAGTAGAAGGCCGCTGCCGATTGGCAAGCCAATAAACCAGCCCGATCACCAGAAATGCAGCAGCCGCGAAGAGATTCATGGCGTCCATGATCGAGCAAAACGACCCTCGAGAGTCTCTAGACTCTGCGTGATGACCTTTAGCTGTAACAAAAAATAAAAAATAAAAAACAATTGTTAGCTGCAGGAGAAAACAATGTTATTTAGCTTACCAGAGTGGCTGTCTATCGCCGCTATCGCCATGACCAGGACTTACGAAGCTAGTCAAGAGGCAAGTCACGCGTAGAAGAGCTGTTATGAATAACCGGGACGCGCCATCTGACTTGCTCTCCTCTTCTCCAGCTCCGCCTCTTCGTGCTGCCGCCGGAGCCAGTCGAGAAAGAGCGCTCGCCTGTACTCGACTGCCTCGTTTTGCAACCCGACCTCGTGCTCGTTCGTAAGTGGAGGAGCTGCCATCTTATTGTTTGGATAGTCGTCAGCCTGTGTCTCGGGCTCCGGCTCCCCAGCGAGTTGGCAGAAGTTGTGCAGGACACAGCAAGCCATGACCGCCTGCGCTACGTATCTCAGGTCCGTGTTCATGTTTCTCAATATCTTCCACCGAGCCTTGAGGAGGCCGAAAGCGTTGGCGATGCACTCCCTGGCTTTCAAAAGCTGCATGTCGAACACATTCTCGCTTACGGTGTCGTCTCGGTCGTAGTGGAAGGGCGTCACAAGGAACGGCATCAGCGGGTATGGCCTGTCCGCCACGATAAATGGTTGCAGCGGGCGACCCTGTAAGTTCATCGTCGGCTGGGCCAGCACCTCCCGGTTGATCAGCCTCCTCCAGAGGCTACTAGCTCTGAGATGCGTTACATCGTCTAGTCCACCCGGAGCGTTGCAGCACACGTCCCAGAAAATCTTGTCGCTGTCGCAGACGCCCTGGAGCAGGACGCTGTAGAAGCCATAGCTTGATAGATAGTCGGCAGGAGTATATGCTGGCTTTGGCTTGTTGTAGAGCTTGATGTGAGATCCACCTATTGCTCCACAGACGTTGGGAGTGCCCGAGAGCGATGCAAACTTCCTTATCACCTTTGTGAGAGCGTTTCCCGAGGGGATGACCACGTACTTGGAGTAGAGCTGGGAGCTGCTCGCAAGAATGCTGGTGATGAGCTTGGTATACTTTGTGACGGTCGAGGCGCCGGTATCGTACATCTCCGCGAGAGCTCTCGGTGAGGTGCCACAGGCAAGTCGATGAATGACGATGGCTACTGCTTTCTCTGTGTCAACCGGTTCCCTGACAAAGTCGCTGCTCGGATTCTCGATGAAGGGCCGGAGCTCCGCTAGGAGGTACTGGAACGACGAGAATCTCATGCGGTAGAACTTGAGCCACTCTCTGTCCCTGGTTACGTGGTCGCTGGACGCGGCCAAGCTTTTCATTTCCTGCCACATTAAGCCGTCTCGTCGTAGCTTCCAACACTCTCTGCTGACCTGAGGCGTGGACGCTGCTGCGAAGAGAGCCACGGACATCACCATGAAGATCGATGGTAGTGGTGTATCCAGAGCCATGTCTCCGAGAAGCATATCAGCGGAAACGTCTGTTAAGCCTTGCGAGTAGGCAAAGAGGAGGTACTGTAGGAAATCCATTTGCATTCATAACACTAGGAAAAGAAGAAGAAAACCACTTGTGAGTATCTTGTAAAACGCTATCTTTCCTAGAGAAAGAATGCTCCTAAGAGCTTCTAAGGAATTCATGCAAGAAGAACTAGAGCATGAAGACAAAGAAAAAGCATTCGACCGATTTATCTAAGTACAAGAAAAATGGTAACGAACAATCAATAAAAACTATGCCCAAGTTTGTAAAAAACGCTATCTTTCCTAAGAATGCTCCTTAGAGCTTGTCAGGAATTGATGCAAGAACTAGAGCATGAAGAGAACGAAGCAATTGATCTATCACAAACATAACTCTTTACTGGCAGATCAGGAATGAATGGATATGCCTCAAAGGTTTAAGTCCATCAACAGCCATAGGCCGCTTGACACATCTAATCGATTCATCACTTTCGCCACAGAAAAGTTCTAGCTTTGATACATGGAGCACACACAGTAGATCAATTCTTCGCAATTCATCACATTCACAGAAAAGTTCTAGCTTCGATTTCGATACATCGAGCACACAGCAAATCGATTCTTCGCAACAAGAAAAGGAAATGCAAGTGATAGACGGATCAGGAATGAATGGATATGCCTCGAAAGGGTTGAGCTCATTAGCGGCCAGGAAGCCGCTTGACACATCTAATCGATTCATCACGTCCGTGGCAAAACCAGACAGCGCAGGCAATGCGGCGGGAGCGAAGAACTTACAGATCGATCCTGTCGTTCGATGATAGCGGCGCAGTTTAAAACCCTAGTGGACGGGCGGCCTCATCCTGGCCGTCCGTTGCGGAGCTCCCGCCCCTGGACTTAATGCGATTTAAATGCCCCAAAACTTTAGGGTTCTTTCGTTGGTGCGCCGAAGAGAAGCGAGAGGGGACGATGGGGAGACCGCGAGCGCGCTGAGGTAATCGCTCCCTTGTTCCGCGCTCGCAATGGCCCCGTGCTGATCGATCATTGCCTTCTTTGCGGACTTATTCCAGCGCCGTGGGGCTGATCTCGCGGGCACTCGCGTATTACCCTAGCTGGCTGAAGAGGGCAAGCGCAGGGTTTCTTGGCGGCGGCCATGGCGGACTCGAGAAATGGCGGCGACGCCAAGAGCAAGGCCAATGACAGCGGCTACGACATCAACATCGACGATTTCGTGAAGCGGCTCAACATCTTCTACAAATGCTGGGCGGACGAAAAGAACGAGCTTTGGGGCGGGGCCGACGCGGTGGCGGTCTTCACGCCGCCCAGGGCCGAGGCGTCCGAGCTTCGCTACCTCAAATCGTCGGCATTGAACATCTGGATGCTGGGATACGAGTTTCCAGACACCCTCATGGTGTTCGTCCAGGGAGCTCTCCACTTCTTGTGCAGCCAGAAGAAAGTGAAGATCCTGGAGGAGCTCCAGCGGCCGGCCAGGACGTCGTGCGGCGTGGACGTGGTTCTTCACGTGAAGCTCAGGAGTGAAGACGGTGGCCCCCAGATGCTCGAGATCCTCGACACGGTGAAGGCGCAGTCTCGGTCCCCGGTCCTGGGGGTTCTTGCGAAAGAGAAGACGGAGGGGAGTTTCATGGAGAAGTGGGACGAGCTCCTCTCGTCCTCCCGGCTCGAGAAAGTGGACGTTGCTGCCGGCTTGTGCGAGATGTTTGCCGTCAAGGACGAGAGCGAGATCAACAACGTGAAGAAGGCGGCGTACCTGAGCGCGACGGCCATGAAGACGTTCGTTGTGCCGAAGCTGGAGCATGTCATCGACGAGGAGAAGCGCATGACTCACGCCGAGCTGATGGAAGAGACGGAGAATGTGATGCTGGATCCTCCAGGGAAGCTGAAGATGAAGCTCAAGGCGGAGGGTGCCGACGTCTGCTACCCGCCAATCTTCCAGAGCGGTGGAGTGTTTGATCTCAAGGCGAGCGCGCAGAGCAACGAGGATCCACTTTACTACGACGCAACTGCGGTGATCATCTGCGCTCTTGGGGGTCGCTACAACATGTACTGCTCCAATGTGGCCAGGACGTATCTCATTGACGCGGACACCAGCCAGGAGAAAGCGTACAAGGCACTTTTGAAAGCTCAAGAGGCGGCTATAAACGCTCTGAGGCCTGGGAACTTGATGTCGGCGGTGTACAAGGCTGCTGCTACCACTTTGGAGCGTGAGGCACCGGAGCTGTCGTCGTTCTTGACGAGATCAGCTGGAGCAGGCATTGGGATCGAGTACAGGGAATCCGGGCTGAGCTTGAATCCCAGGAACGAGAAGGTGATCAAGGCGGGCATGGTTTTTAACGTAAACATCGGCTTGCAAAATCTGGAGATCAAGTCTTCCAATCCGAAGACGCGGACTTACGGGCTTCTTCTCGCTGATACCATCGTTGTTCGTGACAAGGGGCCCGATGTGGTGACATCACTGTCCTCGAAAGCCTTCCAGGACATTGCGTACTCGTTCAAAGACGGTGATGAGGAGCCCGAGGAAAGGCCGAGGTCGAAGCCGGCTTCGAATGGTGCTGAGCCTGTTTACGTGAAGACGGCTCTCCGGTCGGACAACCAGGAAATGACCAAGGAGGACCAGCGGCGGCAGATGCAGGCAGAGCTCGCGCTCAAGAAGAACGAGGAGACCGCGAGAAGGCTGGCGGCGGGTGCCTTCGGCCATGGAGAAGGCCACAACATGGTTAAGTCGTCCGGGGAGATGACTGCGTACCGAAACGTGGACGAGCTTCCATTCAGCCGCGAGCTGATGATCCAGGTCGACCAGAAGAACGAAGCCGTGCTGCTTCCAATCTACGGTATCATGGTTCCTTTCCACATCGCGACTGTGAGGACCATCAACAATCACCAGGACCTCAACTCCTCCATCATCCGGATCATCTTCAACGTCCCTGGAGCCGGGTTCACTACGAACGACGTCCCTTTCCAGAAGTTCCCGCACATGATATATCTCAAGGAGATCTCTTTCCGGACGAGCGACATCAAGCACTCGACGCAGATCGTCCAGATGATGAAGACGCTGAAGCGGCAAGTCTCTCAGAGGGAGTCCGAGAAGGCGGAGCGGGCGACGCTCGTCACCCAGGAGAAGCTCCAGATCTCCAAGGGGAAGGCCATCCGGCTGTCGGATCTGTGGATACGGCCACCGTTTGCCGGTCGAAAGAGGAGGCGGGGGACGCTCGAGGCTCACGTCAACGGGCTCCGGTACTCCACCATGAAGGCCGAGGAGACGGTGGACATCCTCTACAGGAATATCAGGCACGCATTCTTCCAGCCGGCCGAGAAGGAGATGATCACCTTGTTGCACTTCCACCTCCACAACCACATCATGGTCGGGAACAAGAAGGCCAAGGACGTACAGTTCTTCGTGGAGGTGATGGACGGCGTACAAAACGTCGGTGGTAGTAGGCGGTCGCACTTCGATCCGGACGAGATTGAGGAGGAGCAGGCGGAGAGGGAGCGGAAGAACAAGCTCAACAAGGAGTTTGAGGTGTTCGTGAAGAAGGTGACGGACCTGTGGGAGCAGCCGGCGCTCAGGAACTACGGCCTCGAGTTTGATATCCCGTTCCGGGAGCTTGGCTTCCACGGGGTGCCGAACAAGACGTCGGCGTTCATTGTGCCGACGGTCAAGTGCCTGGTGGAGCTGATCGAGTTCCCGTTCCTGGTGGTGACGGTGGAGGACATCGAGCTTGTCAACCTGGAGAGAGTTGGCTTCGCTCAAAAAGCCTTCGACATGGCCATCATCTTCAAGGACTTCAAGAAGGACGTGCTGCGCATCGACGCCATCCCGTCCACGTCGCTGGACAACATCAAGGAGTGGCTCAACTCCATGGCAATCAAGTACTACGAGAGTAGGATGAATCTCAACTGGCGGCCTATTCTCAAGACCATCCTGGACGACCCCAAGAAGTTCATTGACGATGGCGGGTGGGAGTTTCTCAACATGGAGGCGTCCGACTCGGAGTCGGAGAAGTCGGAGGAGTCGGACAAGGGGTACGAGCCGAGCGACCTGGAGGAGCCGTCCGAGTCCGAGGACGAGGGCTCGGACGACGAGTCGGTGGTGGAGTCGGAGGACGATGAGGAGGAGGAGGCGGACAGTGACGAGGAAGAAGGCATGAGCTGGGACGAGCTAGAGGCGAAGGCGTCCAAGGAGGACAAGGAGAAGGGAGACGAGTCGGATAGCGAGGACGAGAGGAGGAGGAGGAAGGCTAAGATGACTGGTAAGACGAGAGCTTCTCCCAAAGCTCCTCCGGCCAAGAGGTTCAAGACTAGATAGATAAGATATAGAGTTGTGGAGTCGAATTGTAATTTCCTTGGTGAAAGAGTTAGCACAGGCAGCCTTTACGAACTTAAACGAAAGCTTCTTACTTGGAGTTCCATCTCACAATGGCTCGTATTCTCCGAGAATCTGGCACGAAAAAATGAGAGTTGGAGCTAGCCAGCTGGAAGTTCGTAGTTCTTACCTGGTAGAGCCGCTCACAGGGGCTTGAGTTCTTTCCATTCTTTGAGAATCTATCATGAGAAGAGCACTTGCAAGTAATTTTTCTTTCACGGCAAGCTTGAGTACCTTCCCGAGCGATTGGGCCGATGATTCGTCCGGCTGGTCGACGTCTTCGTTGTTTGTGGCAGTGCCAGCCCGGGCTTGCAAAGATTCCAGTGTGGCTTTGTTGTGAAGGAGTGAGCCAACCGTTTGCTCTATAAACTCCTGTGAAGAGAAATTCCATGAGATGCTTGGCAGTGATCGCGGGATTGAGAGATGTCTAGCATACCTGCTTGGCGGCCAGAAGCCTCTTACACTCGGCTTCCAACACAGGGAGCTCCTCCTGGAGCTTATTCAAGCGTGCTTGGATCTTCATCGGGTTTACCTGGAATTTCCGCGGTTTGAGAACCAATGCGCAAGGGATCGGCGGCTTACATCGTCATTCCCGTAGATTCGGCTGAGCTCCTCGTCCAATCTGTATTGAATCAGCTGTAATCAAGCGCCACTTCGCGAGAAATCCAAATGTAGCTCTGGAAATCATACCAGAAGCGAGTTGTGAGCTCGATCGAAGTGCGCGGCGAGCGTATCGACAGCATTCTCCGCCCAGACGCCTCGTCCAGCGGCCGCGGAGAACGCCATAACGATCTAGGGTTAGAAAGAAGAGAAGAAAGAATATGCCGTTTTCCACCGTTAAAGCGATTCCAATCCAACGGTAGTTCTAAAGCCCTAGCTAAAGAGTTTTAGGGTTCTTGAGAGCCGCCGGAAACAGCAAGCGCCGCGCCATGGTCTGTGAGGATGGATAGGAAAGCTAGAGCTGGATTTGACGATTTCGTGCTTGTTTCTTACAGGATCAGCCAGTGAAGCTCGCAATTGTGACCAAGGTGATCGGCAGGACGGGATCTCGCGGGCAAGTGACCCAAGTCCGGGTGAAGTTCCTGGACGACCAGAATCGTCTCATCATGCGCAATGTCAAGGGGCCGATCCGCGAAGGTAAGCTCTCGATCCTCTCGATCGAATCGAAGATTGATCTTTGGGGCAAATTTCTTGTGTAGGTGACATCCTCACGCTGCTCGAGTCCGAAAGAGAAGCTAGAAGGCTGAGATGAAGAGACCCTGGCGAAATTTTGGGATTGGGATTTCTATGTAGCCTTCTCGATCGATGAAATTCTAATAGAAAGAGTCTTGTGTTTAAAATATTTTTCTAGTTCTAGGTCATTCTCTTCTTCCATGGCGGCGGCTTGCGCCCAGAATGCTGGTGCAGCGCAATGCCAGGGATTTTCGCGATTGTCGCCGCTGGGAAGGAGATGTAGCTCTGGATCTAGGGTGTTCTTGTCGCAGCGTGGATCCAGATTGAAAGCCGTGGCTCTGGCGCACGCTGTTGTCCAGGAGCGATCGCGTTTGGAATCGATGCGCTCTTCTTCGTCGCTCCAGCAGCGAACGCTCGATTTCGTTAAGTATCATGGCCTGGGAAACGATTTCATATTGGTATGCGTGGTGTGTGTTGTGTTGTGAGTGTTCTTATCCGGATGTCCAGGTCGACAATCGTGATTCCTCGGCTCCAAAAGTTTCTCCGGAGGATGCGATCAAGCTCTGCGATCGAAACTTTGGTGTGGGAGGCGATGGTGTCATCTTTGCTATGCCGGGAACCCAAGGCTGCGACTACTCCATGCGAATCTACAACTCCGACGGCAGTGAGCCAGAGGTGAATGAGAGTTGACTCTTTTTAGCGATTGTCTTGTGTTCTTGGTTCTCTCTAGATGTGTGGAAATGGGATTCGTTGCATGGCTCGTTTCGTGGCACGGCTGGAAGGAACTCTAGAACCTCGAAGGTTTGATCACGTCCTTTGGTTTTCTTTTGTCTTTGTTCTTACAAGAACTTACCTTACAGCTACAAGATACACACTCTTGCTGGAACAATTATTCCCGAGCTTCGTCCTGATGGACAGGTACTCTAGCTTTCATGTAGTCTAGTTTCCATGCGCTGGGACTAATTCAATCCACAGGTTGCAGTGGATATGGGACCTCCTACGCTGAAAGGTGCCGAGGTTCCCACAAAGCTTCCGGTTAATGCCGATGGCGCAGTAGTGAAGCAACCGCTGGTTGTGGATGGAAGAACCTGGCTCGTCACTTGCGTGAGCATGGGTAATCCACACTGTGTGACATTTGGGGAGCAAGATGCTAAAGGGGTAATCAAACATGTTTGAATGCTTCTCATTTCCTTATTCCCATCTCTATCCAGGATCTCGAGGTGAATAAGCTGCCCTTGGAGAAGATTGGACCTCTTTTCGAGCACCATGAGGTTTTTCCTGCAAGAACAAATACTGGTGAGCGTTTCTTTCATGAAGTTGACGAATCGATTACATCATTGGCCTTAAACATCCAGAGTTTATCCAAGTGTTGTCCGATACTCACCTCAGGATGAGAGTGTGGGAGAGAGGCGCAGGTAAAATTCGTGAACATGGTACCATAGCTTTGAATCTGATATTATACTGTATGTTGTAGGTCCGACCTTGGCCTGTGGAACTGGAGCTTGCGCTGTCGTAGTAGCGGCAGTCTTGGAAGGACGAGCACAAAGGGTACGTACTGTCTACCTCACATTTCATGGCACTCACGCAAGGTATCCTAGAGATGCGTTGTCGATCTTCCGGGTGGTCCACTGGAGATAGAGTGGAAAGAAGCAAACAACCACGTCTATATGACCGGACCTGCGAAACCAGTGTTCTCGGGAATCGCTTATCTGGATTAAACAATCGGTACGAAGGAATCGTTTTCCAGACATCATTCAAAGCAGTAAGAATTTTTTTACAGCCATACGTACCTCTCGACTAAAAAATCCTCCTACGAGTCAAGCAGCAACAATCTCTCGGGCCAGCCACTGCATGCCCGGATACGAGAAGTAGAGCACCAGGTAGCAAGGCACCGCGAAGACCAGCGTCACCAAGCTGTAGAGCACCAGCACGAGAGCGCTGAAGGGCAGGACGTAAAACACCAGGAAGAGCAGCAAGATCATCGGTGGCAGCTTGGAGATCACCTGGGCGATCAGCCGGATGAGCTTCAACACCTGGTCGGCATTCCACTCGTCGTGGACGATCTCGTGCCAGACCCGGCGCTGCTGCAAGTTAAGCCCGATCTGCCACACGTCGCTCATCCTCCAGGCGCCCTTGTCCAGCCTCCGGCTCGCCGGGACGTGATCCTCCGGCTTGGAGCACTCGGTGGTAGCGGCCGAGGAGCTGCCCCTCGCGGCCTCGACGATGGAGAGGAGGAAGAAGTTCTTCGCCGGGAATTTGAGGCGGCCTCCCTTCCAGGAGAGGCGGAGCGTGAGGAACTGGCACCAGGGGCACGGGACGAGGAGAGGGAGCTGGAGCTGGAGTGGCTTGATCGTCCCCCACTGGAGGCCCATCAAGCACGTCTTGCACAGGGTGTGGCCACAGAAGAGAACGTAAGGCGTGTGGTCGCCGCCATTGAAATTCTCCCAGCAAACCGGGCATTCCAAGCAATCGTCCCATGGATTTCTTGCCGAAGCGCTCGCCGCCGCTGTCGCTGAAGCCGCCCCTGTCTGGGACGAATGGTGCTGCCTCGCGGCGCCGCCAAATCCACAGCTGCGCAGGAATCTATTGAGCTTCCCTCCCTGCCCTGAATCCATGGGAGCGGATCGATCGGATCTAGCGCTAGAATTTTTGAAGAAACCTAAAAATGCTTTCGTCGGGAGTGAGATTTAATAAATAAAAGATGCTTTTGGGATATTCTGGTGCCTATTGAATCCCAGCCGTTGGATTCTTCTTATACCGCGTTTCCAGAGGGTCTAGGGTTCTTCGCATCGCGGATCTGGAATGTCGTGGATCAGGGGCTCCGGGGCTCCATCGGCGGCTGGATATGGCAAGATTTCGGCTCCGGCAGCAGATCCAGTGCCGGCGCGGCCGGTTTCGCTCCTGATGACGGTCTGTGCGACTCCCTCCAACGATCTGGCGTCGACGAATTACGCGTATTGCTCGGTGAGTGATGCGTCCAAGTTTCATGCCAAGGGATGGGACAGAGGATTCGCGCTTGTAGGCAATGCCGTCGTGCTGACGATCAAGTGAGTGGATTTTAAGGTTTTTTTTCTTGTGCTTATTAGTAGCTCTCTTCCGGCAGGGGTCACGATGCGGTGCCCAATAATTCTCTGGCGCTCAATACAATCCAGCGGCAACATTTGAAAGTATCGAAAGGAGATGAGATTCCAGTGGAAAGGTTTGATATTCCAGACAAGTTCAAGCTTACGGCTGTGACAGTGGAACTCGAAATCTTTAAAGGAAAAAATCGGAAAGAAGAACAGGTGTGCGTTTCTTATCTCGCCCATGCATGATTCTTATTTATATTCTTGCAGATTGATGCGAAAGTTTTCTCCAAGGAGATCGTTAGAAGATTATCCGAGCAGGTTTGCGACCTTTGTTGCTTGCTGCTCGTTGGTTCTCACTCCGAAGTATTCAGGTGGTGACTATTGGTCAGAAGGCTTTCATCGAATACTGCGGCATAAATTATGTCCTCACTATTAATGATTTAGCGCTAGAAGGCCATGATAATCCAAATCGTGGTTTGATTTCAATTGAGACGACATTTATATTCGAAGCAGCTCCTGGTTCTAGCATCAAGGTGAGCCAGAGACTACATTTTCAGCTACTTACCAATTCATGCGTTCGACAGATAACGAATCAGAGGGGAGCTGGTACTCAGATCTTCAAGCAGAAAGATTTAAACTTTCAGAAGCTAGGAATCGGAGGCCTCGATGCTGAGTTTGCTGACATATTTCGGAGGGCATTTGCATCAAGAGTCTATCCTCCGGATGTGATCAGCAGGTGAAATGCTGCCTGAAATTTTGCAACTGCTGATTAGAATTCTATCAGATTAGGAATAAGCCACGTCAAAGGAATGCTGTTGCATGGACCTCCAGGAACGGGAAAGACACTTATTGCTCGGCAAATCGGAAAAATGCTCAATGGTCGTGAACCAAAGGTTTGTTATTTGACTCCATGTTACTTGAATACACTGACAAGCTTGTTATGCAGGTGGTAAATGGTCCAGAAGTTCTGAGTAAGTTCGTCGGTGAAACGGAAAAGAATGTTAGGGACCTATTCGCTGAAGCAGAAAATGATCAGAGATTGAGAGGTTTACAATACTTTCAGTTATTAAAGACTTTTTTTGAGTGTCTTCATATCCACAGGTGATCAGAGTGAATTGCACATTATCATTTTTGACGAGATTGATGCCATCTGCAAGGTATACTTTTACGATTTTGTAAATGATAAAATTTCTTCTCATACAGACAAGAGGCTCCACTAGAGATGGAACTGGAGTGCATGACAGCATTGTCAACCAGCTTCTCACCAAGGTTGGCCTTTACTTTTATTGCGTGTGAAGTGTTTGTTTGAATTGCGATCTTTAGATTGACGGTGTGGAAGCGTTGAACAACATACTACTGATTGGCATGACAAACAGGAAGGATATGCTTGACGAGGCACTTTTGAGGTGAGAGTTTTTGTTGAATGCATTCCGTATGTTAGACTTATGGCACTTGTGGCTGTAGACCAGGTCGACTAGAAGTTCAAATCGAAATTGGGCTTCCAGATGAAAAGGGACGTGTTCAAATTCTTCAAATTCACACGAGCAGAATGAGAGATAATTCCTTTTTAAGCGCTGACATAAGACTGGAGGACCTTGGTATGTATAATCTCATTCTGCTGCTCTGTTTTTCACCAAAGATCTCATACAGCTGCGCGGACCAAAAATTTCAGTGGAGCAGAGTTAGAAGGGCTTGTGAAAAGCGCGGTATCTTTTGCTTTAAACAGGCAAGTAAATGTGGCGGATCTTACTCAACCGATCGACGAAGACAACATCAAGGTTACAATGGTTGACTTCAATAATGCCCTGCAAGAGGTCCAGCCTGCTTTTGGTGCTGCTGTTAATACGCTCGAGATGTACAGGTATGCATATGATACGCAACGTAACTAGCTTTTTGAGCTGTTCTCGTGCAGAGTTAATGGTATGTTGGATTGCGGGGAGAAACACAAACATGTACAAGAAACCGCCATGACACTGGTCGAGCAAGTCAGGAAAAGCGATAGAACGGCGCTTCTCACTTGTCTTCTGGAGGGCCCTCCTGGAAGGTAGTTTTTGTTCCTTGCGTTTGAATGTACTAATTGCTCGATCATCAGCGGGAAGACTGCTCTAGCTGCAACGATTGCTATTGAAAGCGAATTTCCTTTCATTAAGATTGTAAGTTATGTGTATACGTTTTTAGCAGAACCTGAACTGTTTCTGGCCCAGATATCAGCTGAAAACATGATTGGATACTCTGAAACGAGCAAATGCAGCTTAATCGCCAAGGTATAGATATCGAATTTCATCTTCTCGACAAAGCTGTGTTTTGCAGGTCTTCGAGGATGCCTACAAATCGCCGTTCAGCATCATCATACTTGACGACATCGAGCGGTAGGCTTCTATCAACTCCAATTCTTATAACTGATTCATGCTGGAAATGCAGGCTACTGGAGTATGTGAACATAGGTGCACGTTTTTCAAATGTAGTCCTTCAGACTATTCTCGTGCTCTTGAAGCGTCTGCCACCGAAAGTAAGCTTCGAGAATTCGTAAATAGAAGTCACTGCTCTTGGTTTTACAGGGAAGAAAGCTGATGGTTCTAGGAACGACTAGCATGTCCTACGTGCTTGATTCCATGGACTTGGTCTCGGCGTTCAATGTCAAGCTCGGAGTACCGAATTTGAGACCACCCGACATGAAAAAGGTACGATGATATCAATCCATTACTCGCTTTTTTCTTCATTCTTTTCTACTCCAGGTGTTGGAAGGACTGGGTGTTTTTGCCAAGCGAGACCTGGACGACGTGGTCGAAGCACTGGACGAAGAGGTATGGTTTAGATCGGAGAACTAAAAGAAAAGTTTGGAGTGACACCTTTCTTCTCTTTTTTTTGTAGATTCCTATCAAGAAACTTCTCATGCTCGTGGAGATGGCCGCGCAAGGAAACCAGGACGATGACGCGGAGGACGTTTACGCTGGCAAGAGAAAGATTGACAAGAATTATTTCATGGAATGCCTCCAAGACTTGGCTTAGAGGCATTTTTCTTTTCCAATGTATAGTTTTTTGGAGGCTACTACCTAGGGTTTTAGGGTTCTTCTATGTTGCGTAGGAGGAGCGAGGAGCTATGGAAGCGATGGAAAGATTCAGCCGCGACAGGTGCGCATTTTGAGATCCGAGGCTCTGGGAGAGTGTTCTTGAGCGATTTGTGGCGCTGCAGTGAGCCAGCGGCGGAGCTATGGCAGCAAGAGCCTGGAATACAAAGCGAAGATGATGAAAGAGTTTTTCGAGTACCACCAGAGCTTGGGCAATCCAGATCTCATCACATTCGTTGGGAGAGCTAAAGTGCGTAGCAGTAAGCAATGCGAATCGATTTCCAATGCTGCATTTTCTTTTTCTCTTAGAACATCTTGTCATCGCAATGGCGTTGTCAGCTCGTCACGAGAGCTCGAGCAGCCAAGAGGTACTCTCCTTGTTCTTTCTCTTGGTTTTCCCCTTTCAACTTAGAGAAACAAAATGTGATCCAGGGACGAGAAGCTCCACGCCTCGATTGTCCAGTTTGGATTCTTCACAAAGCCTTATGTTTGCTTGACGAAGGAAGACAAGGCTCACAAACTGGTAAGCGGTCATTTGGTTTCTATCCAATTTTATTTTATTTTTCCTTGTGTAGGATCTTGTAGTTGATAGCAACGCGACGCTCTTCGTCGGTCATACCGATCCTCCTTCTCTTATGGAAACTATAAGGCTTCTGGGTAAGGTAAGCGAATCACTTGGGAATCGCTGGAAGTTTTTTGGCTTTTTTTTTTTTCTGTAGGTTCCTCCTCATATCATCTTGACTGGTGTAATGGGATTTGCCGAAGACAGTGAGGTAAAATCGTTTGTTCTTGAGACTTCATTATCTTGACTTAACGTTTTTGTAGGTGAGCAGAGTAAAGGAAGCTCTCTCGTCTATAAACACAGCTGCTAAAGAGGTTGTGGAGCTCGGTGGTCAAGCACTCGGTCCTCTCTTTGAAGCGTCAGAGAAATTGCTCGCCTCGCAATTCGAAGCTCGAACAAAGCTTCTAGACCCCGCTAGTGAGCTATCAATCTATCTATTTCGCCCAAAGTATAGTCCTTTCTACTTGGTTTCGTCCATTCTTACCGTTTTCTTTCCTGCTAGATCAATCGTTTACGTGGACTTGCTTGGGGCCAAACACGAAGTAGAGCTGGGACTTGCTCCAAACACTCATGCCCTCTGTAAGAAAACTCTGTAGATGGATAGTTCGTTTTGACAGGAACCTTTCGTTGCAGCCACCTTGTTCTCTGGTCTCGTGGAGGGCATAAACCAGACCGAATCGAGAAGGTTCACCCTCAAGGTCTTCTGCATGGTTTATCGGCACGTCAAAGTGGACGTAAGAAGATCCGTTTTCTTAGTCAGATAACCAAAACTTCCTTTCCAGGACGCTATACTCTACAACATCGACACAAATGGCTTCGACATCCTGGCGAAAGTCATCAAGCCCGCGAGCACAGACTGGATGGGATACCGCTTCAACTTTAAGAGGAATGTAACGACGGCCCTGGACGTGTGCCGGCAGCTCGTGGAGATGGAAAGGGAGTGCTGGGAGGCAATGCGCGCGTCTCCGGCGATGGCCTCAGCCGTGAGTCGAGCTGCAGCAGCCGAGGCAGCGGCAGCGATGGCAGAGGCGGCGGCAGAAGCGGCAGCAGCGGCAGAAGCCGCGGCCGAACCACCAGAATTCGACACCGCTGGAGAAGAGGCCACGCAGAACGAGAACCTGGAAGTTGATGAAACTGCAGCTCAATCCGAAGAAGACACAGCCACTGCCACTGACAGTACTCCGGAAGAAGTTGACAACAAAGTCACTGCAACCTAGTGAAACGTTGATCTAGGCACCATCATCCCCATTTTGAGGCTTCCAACATAAGAGCTGACTCAAAGTTCCTGCTAGTCTTGGGCTTTCTTGGGACACTGGAAGGATCTGTGGCCTTCCTCTCCGCAGCTGAAGCATCCATTTTTCTTGCTCTTGTCCTTCCGCGGCTCACGATCGCTGTTGGTGCTGCTGGTCGGTTTCTTGGGCGGGACAGCGTAGGCGATCTTGATGGGCCGGTTGAGAAACAGCTTCTGGTCGAGCTTGATGGCCCTCTCCACGGACTCGTCGTCTTCGAAGTCGACGTGACCGAAGCCTTTGAACTCTCGGGTTTCCTTGTCGAGCGCGAGGCGGACGCTCGTGATCTTGCATCTCTTGAAGAACTGCCGCAAGTCTTTCTCGGTTGCGTCCCACGAGAGGTTTCCAACGTAGACTGAAGTGCAGCCCTCCGTCTTGGGTGGTGGCTCCGCGTAGGAGGTTTTTTGCTGCTTGGCCTCGTCTTGTGGCTTGATTTTGCATCTCATAATTCGCAAGAATCGGCCACCCCTGTTTTCCAGCGAAAAGTAGCGGTGAGAAGAGAAAAACCATCCATGGAACTTACATGTCCGCTCCATCGAGCTCGAGTGCTTTCTTTACTGCGGCTTGCGTCTGTGACAAGCACTCCATGCTTGAAAGTTTCGATCGAAAGAGAAAAAGAGAGTCTACCTTGAAAGTAATGAAAGCGAGGCCCCGGAACCTCCCAGTGTCTGGGAAGGTTGTGTAGTCGATCTCTTCGATGGCTCCACACTCAGAAAAGTAGCTATGGATTTCGTCCTCGCTTGTAGTGTATGGCATGCCTCCAGCGTAAATCTTTTTGGGATGATATTCTTCTTCTCCAGTCTCTTCCCTGCCAGCAAGAACAACTTAAGATTAAAGAAATCGACGAAGACGTACCTTTGATGGTCATCGTTCTCGTTCTCTTCAATTTCTGGCTGTGGTGGAGCGTCAGGAGCCACAGGCGCGCCCCATCGATCCACCTTCTTCTTCTTTGCGTTCTTCGATTTCCTCCCGACTGGTCTTGTTCCATCCTCCTCTTCCACTGCATCAATCGCATTTTCCTCCTCTTTCCTCTTCCTCTTCTCCTTCGACATCTTCGTCCCCTCCTCCTCCGCCAATGCCTCTCCTTTCTCCTCCCTTTCAACCGCCTCCGCCTCTTTCCTCCTCCTCCTCTCCTCCCTCTTGAACCTCTTCGCCGCCCTCCGGTCCTCCAGCTCCCGCGCCGCCGCCTCCTCCTCCAGTTTCTCGGCCTCTTGCTGCTTCCGCTTCTCCTTCTTCTTCTTCACCTTCAATCTCCCCTCCTGCCCGAGCTTCTCCTTGCCGGATCCATCGCCCGCCGCAACCTGTTCCTTGAGCTTCTTCCGCCTGGCCACCATCGCCCGAGCGAAGAACCCTAAACCCAAATTTTCGCATTTTAGGGCAGGCGTGAACTAAGATTTTACTACCGTAAGTACCTTGACCTAATTCGAATATGACATCGGGCCCACAAACAAAATTTTCAATATACTTTCACGTGTTTTTGGACTGCCGCCAAATGTTGCCACTCGATATATGCCTTAGCAAGATATGAGCTAGACGACACAGCAGAATCGTGAAATTTGAGCATCAGATTGTCTAGTGCGTCGTTCTTGCAGGGACAATTGTGACTTTTAGGACGCATGTTAGCTCCAGAGCTTGTCCCTGTTACTTCTGCCGCCAATGGGTCAGGTCCTTTTCCTGGATTCTAAAAGGAGCTATGGAAAAAATGAGAGAGACTTTTTGCTTTATACAAGCTTGTTATCATCGTCTTTCGCTAGAAGTCTTTCCAGCTTCATTGAAGGAACTCATGATTCTAGAACCACTCTTGAAATCACTCTCGAATTCACATCTGGAACAATGGGTTTGTCTGCAATCAGTGGAGGATTGTACAGTAGAAGAATGTGGGGGACGAGGATGTGCAAGAACTTCAAAGAAGGAAGCACTCAGTTTTTATTTAAAGTTGGCCGCCATAGATCTATAGCGGCATGCATACCCATCCACACATTTATAACCGTTCTAGAGGCTGCCAGAAGTGACTTTTTTGGGGCACATCTTGGTGCAGCCATAGCCATTCTTCTCGCAGCAGTAGTGCTCCACACCATTCTCGCACATCCACATGCAGCCATATCCATTCTTGAGGCAGCATGAGTACTTCTTGGATGGCTCACACATTTGCATGCACCCATAGCCATTCTTGAGGCAGCACTGGTACGCTTTGCCTTTTTCACACTCTTGCATGCACCCATAGCCATTCTTGAGGCAACAGTAAGTTTCACCCACAACGCTTGTTAGTCCTGCACAAAAGAAAAACAGAAAACAATGAAACAAAACTCCTGGAAGTTGCAGCACCTTTCTTTTCCAGGATAGTAGCCAAATATCGCGGATCATGCATAGCATCCATCCCTTCCGAAACCACCATTGCTGTGGAACTTGTGAATTAGTTGAAATTTTAAGCAAACAAAACTTTTGAGCATTACCTTCTTCAGCAGCATTGGCAATTGCAAGCAGCATCAATGGCAGCAGAAGGATGCAAGAAACTCGAACAAATGCCATCACTATGCTGAAGCAAACAGAGACAACAGAAGCAAAACTTGATACAAATGGCCTTCCGATGTGGTTAATTTATAGTACGAGTTGTCATCCCACGTGTCTCTCAGAGTTTATGTATATTTGTATCTTGCACAAGTATTTCAAAATATCTAGATATTTTTGTGAAGATCCTTTCAAAATAAATATCTGACAAGGATGTCAACAATAGTTATTTTTCGAGGATGTCAACAATTGGTATTTTTAAAACATATCTATGGCAAACAATTAGTGATCACTGTTTTGGGGACAGTGTACTGGGGTGGGTGGGCTGGTAAAAAAGTGTATTAAACTGTGAAATATATGAAATTAAAACAGAAGTGTACTTGAATTGTTTAAACATATATATGTGACTCACAAAATAATGTTTTGGATGCCATTTTTCTAAATGCATATATATTAGAATGTATATATGAATTCTCAGTTTATTTGATATATCAAAACCTTCTTCTTTTAAGTTTGGTAAGAATGGCAAAAATGTGTGGCAAGATTTAACTAGATTGGAAGTGTAGCTAAACTAGGTATTGTAGACATTCCCTACCAAAAGAGTGCTAGTCATGAGCCTCTCTACACATTGGCTATTGTCCATTGTCAATTCAGCAATGCTATTGTGCACTAGAGTGCTCAATTAAGGCTTTTGACATGCTAAGTACACACTTAGAGACTACAATAAACTTAGGCATCAATATAAAGTTTGGCCAGAACATGAAATAGTAATGAATGCCACACATATTACAATAGAGGGCTCAAGCTCTTTAATGTAAGAATCCCATAGCAACAATAGGCACTACACTAGAAGGTAACTATTATACTTTTATTATAGTTTTATTAAAATTTTTATTATAAAAGATATATATTTTAGACAAAAGTTTTACTTTACAATTTATTACTAATTTAATTCATGGTTTATATATATATATATATATATATATATATATATATATATATATATATATATATATATATATATATATATATATATAATAATTTTATGAAGTTACAATCAAACATTACTATTGCAATTGTGATTACAGGTATCAAATGTTATCTATTGGGAAGTCCTTTAAGATATTCTTTCTTTACTACCATAATGGGAAGAGGTTAGTATTGCTGAACCCTTTTATCAGTCTCCACCCAAGTTAATTGAGAAACTAGTCTTCACATGTGCATTTAGTTAAATGAGCATATGGAGGGAATTCCTAAGTGTTATTAGTCAAATATATTTGACCTGGTTAAAGAAACTCATTTATTGACTTATACTTGTTAGTGTTGAGAACCCCTATGATATTGAGCTTGGTCCGTCAATATTTATTAGATAATAGTTTACCATATTCACCAAGACATTTTCACTATTATACCCTATGTGTTAGTCCCATTTAATTCTAATGACTATTTATAGAAAGTGTCTTAGGCATATCTATGGAATGTAGAGATTATCTTGAACACAATGGCATTGTTCTCAAGTGCAAATGTGACTAAAGTGAAAGCTTAAAGCATACATTCCTCAGGGGGGTGCTATGGGGGGTTTCATATGTATAGTAGGGATAGTGGGTAGGTTGAGCATGTTTAACTAATTTGAAGTATAATCTAATTCTTGCTTGTATGTTTGTATTTGTTCTGTGTCTGACTTAGGTCTAAGCCTAATCTCCATACATATTGGCTGGTGGAATACCCAAATTCTTGCATTATGCCACTGATATACTAAAACAGTGCTAAATTCCATTTGGCTTTATTTTCTGTACTAATCCTTGCATTGGGATGCTAAATGCTCTAAGACTATTTCTATATTGTTTTGTGCTTTTACCCCTTCGCTCCTTGGGCTGTACACTCGGGAGTCCCATGCTCTAGTTCCTTTGCTCCTTAGTTGTATGTTTGGGAGTTTTACTCTATTCTTTTGTTCAGTGGCTTAAGGCCTTGAAACTTGGGTTTCACTTTGCAGTCCTTAGACACGTGGCATGTGCCATGTGGAGGGTTAGGTTTCTTGGTTATCGTATGGTAAAATATGTAGGATAAAAGGTGAAAACCATGTATGCTATATTTATAAAGAGAGAAGCCACCAAAATGGAGTTTGAGATGGAATTCAAGACCAAGTCCAAATACTAATACAGGTCGTAGGGTCAAAGCCCAAAGTGATCATTCCTCAAGGGGGGAGGGGCTACAAGGGGTTCCAAAAGTATACTAGGGAGAGTGTGGGGATTGGACTTCAGTGAAACTAGTTTGGCCAAGAAAAACTAGTGTGACTTATGAAGGTTATATATGGTAGGTGATGATATAACAATTAAGGAGTCCAAGACTAAAATGAACATGAATGGACAAGCAAGGTAACTTAGTAAATTGTTCAAGAGCCAACTCTAGCTCCTCTAGGATATCAGATGGTCAATGCTCTCAATCCAAGTGTAGGTGGCACCACTTACTTGGATATTTAGCATGGCTCATCGAAACTTTGCTCTAGTTATATAGCTATGCCACCCAGAGGCAAAAACTAAGAGGAGGACCCATAAGGCTTGTATA